AGAACCTTGAAGGGCCCATAGGACTTAGGGGCCAGTTTCGGGGCAACTATACTAGGACTAGTAATAGCTGCTCGGAGAAGCTGTTGTTGTTGTTGTTGATCATGTTGTTGATCATGTTGTTGCTTCTGCTGCTGCAATTGTTGCTGTTGTTGGTTGTTTGGCTGCTGTGGCTGAGGGTGTTGTTGTTGCTGTGGACCAAGAAGAGTCTGCTGCTACTGCTGTTGTTCGCCAAACGGCTCCGTCAAGTCTGGTCGGAGGCTGTTTGTGGTTACAGCCCCTTCCGGATTCCTCACCCTATTAGAGAAATACGATTCCAGCAAGCGTCACAGCTCCCAGGCATCGTCTTTGACCTCACGAACCTCCCTGCTGGTTTCTACGAGCCTATGCTCCAATTCGTGGACCCTGGATGATAGTTGTTGCAAATCTCCCATGACGACCGGCTCTGATACCAAAATGTTATGGTCCCGCGTGTAGGATCTCGTCACGGGTCGGTCCACGGGGAAAACCCTCTGTTTTCCCTTGTTCCTCCCTGCTCTTGATGGACCTATCTAGGCACCCTAATGGTGATTTGTTCAAGAGATCACCTAACTCTCCTTTACTCTCTTTCTTGACTGAATATTCGATATCCTCATTCAATAATGGTGTCTCCTTAAATAGGAGATTACAAGAGTCCTAATCTTAGGGAGTCTCCTTGCTGAATAGGGAGACTTCCAATTCTATCTTGCTAAGGATAAGATAAGCTAATCCTAATCTGATAATAAGATAAACTAATCCTAACCTGATAACAAGATAAACTAATCCTAATCTGATAATAAGATAAACTAATCATAATCTGATAACAAGATAAACTAATCCTAATCTGATAATAAGAGAAACTAATCCTAATCTGATAACTTACTAACAAGATAAGATAAGAGCAATAGAATAAGATAAGAACAAGCAAGATGATCTAATCTAATCTAGTGGTGGGTCAGGTTCCTGTTGCTGCCGACGGCGATGGTACGTCTTTCCGAGGAATGCGTCCATAACACATGACTATGGAACTTTGTGCCCAGAACCATGGACTGGAGTGGGAAAGAATTATCAGTGACAAAGAAATATCTCCATCCTTGATTGTCATGATTTTATGTTAGTAAATTACAGACTGCCACCCTGTACTTTGGGGATAGTGAAACTTAGCCTCCCAAACTTTCATTTGTGACAAAGACCCACCCTTTTACTGAGCTTAATGGTAAAAATTATCAAAAAAAAAAAAAAAGAAAAAAATGGGCTTGACAATAAAGCCATTTTTTTTTGTATTTTTCTATCTTGCTGCATTTCCTCTTTTTTTTTGTCTGCAATTTTCTGTATTTTTTGTATTTTCTCAATTTCCTTTTTGTTGTATTTTTTTTTTCAATTTTCAGTTTTTTTATGTATGTTCCTCTTTTTCTTCACTTTTGTTGTATTTCCTGCAATTTCCTACCAGGTGGCAACCTAGCAAGACACACACACACACACAGAGGGAACTGATTCCAAAGCCATCTCCATAATGCTTGGGAAATGCCCATCGAGACAATTCCAGGCACCAAAGCATGGTGTATGATAGACAATTCCAGTAACCAACACCAATCAGAGAGAATGATCTTCATAGACAATACTGATGAAATAGCATCAGTTTTTTATCAACTTGTGACAGCATGATTTTCTCCAGGGTAAGCAAGGCTGCAGCCCACCAAAACATGCAATCATGCATTTTGGGTCACAAATACAGGTTCCATCCAACCTGTGAGGTTCAGGCTGGACCAAAGTCCAAACAAATAGCACCAATTTTTCTAAAGTGGGTTTCGGGTTCAAGTTAGTTTATAGTGAATATTTTCATTTTTTTTCTTAAGTTCTCTCAGGTACAGTGGTAGTTTCATGATACAAGTGAATGGGTTGCCAGACCCTATATGATATTTATATCTATGTATACATATGTTCTTTTTTATTCTAAGATTTAGAAGAACACAGAAACTTTTTTGTATCTGGAGGAGCTCAGGGTCTCCTTTCCATCTCTTTGCCTTTTTATTCTCACTTCTTAATACTATAGTGCTATTGTTTGGACTTTGGAGCAAATCAGAACTCGGTGTTGCCAAATCAATGATTTGTTAGTGGAGCTAGCTTGCATTAGAAAATAAATACTCATTCTCAATTTGAATTCCATATATTCTTGATAATTCAACAACTCAACAAAGCCTAGTCCCAACTATATAATTTCAGCTGCACGAATCTCGTTCCATCATTCTGCTCTGTTCAGTACCATATCCATTGTTAAATTATGGGCCCTCAAAGCATTTTTCACTAATCCAACCCATATCCTTTTTGGCTTGTCCTTAGCCCTTATAGATCCTTCAACTTGCAAGTTTTCCTTTAGTTCAAGTGATACTGTGATAGTTTTCCCACTCATCCATCTCAACATTTACATCTCTCTTATACATTTCTTGACTGCCTAAAATTTTTCTCTGTTATAGCTGTTTTACAAAGTTTTCTTTTAGCTCAAATGACATTCTTGAGAAAACAACCTCAAAACCCTGTTGCAGAGAAGTCACTCTCTCTAGAAAATTGGTTAAACCCTACAAGAAACCTATACTAAGAAAATCCTCTTCACCAGAACCTGTTCCAAGACAGGTCACTGGTATAGTGCCTTCTTGGATGGCAATTAATTACAAAAGAATTTCAGAGTTTTGTCCTAATTTATAGCATTTAAATGTATATGGGGTATACTTGTATATGCTATAAGGAATCCCCCAAACTCCTTATGGATGGACAACCATGAACATAGCTTGCTGACCTAGTTCTCAAAAAATACAGGAATTCATTTCCAACAAAGCACACTAAAATATAGAAAAAATGCACTATCCCTCAAGATGCCACCCTTGTATATGCTTTTATTTTTATAGGTTATACCTGTATACATTGCTTTTCTTTCTTTAGTAATATAATTATATTTTACCTTTCAGAAAAGGATCGTCTTCTCAGGCATGAAGCCATGAATCTAAAAAATTGACAAGTTCTTTTTTTTATGAATGACTATTTGTATTAACTATGAAAACTAAAAATTTGACAAGTTCCGCGAAATGTCCAAAGATCAATGGGTTAATGGATCATATGAAAAAAATAATAATTATAGGCACACAAGAACTAAAACAGAGAATTAACAGTCATCAAATCTAGTTATACCTGGAGAAAAGGCCTACGAAGGAGAAGTTCAGCAAATATACAAGCTGCAGCCCAAACATCCACGCCAGATCCATACTGCTTGGTGCCAAATAATAATTCAGGTGCCCTATACCATCGAGCAAAAACCTAACCAAAAGAAATGGATGCTGGAAATAAGTGATACATTTAAATTTATCTGGTCTTAATGATAAAAAATAATTATTTGGTCTTCAACAATCATGTTATGAAAAACAATAACATCTGTTGATAAAACATGCTTATTTTTATTCATAAATTCAAAGTTTGAAAAGAAAGATTAGAAGTTAAAAATTTACCAACAAGCTAACAATCAATTGCAAGGCCACTGCATATTTATTAGCTTAAACAAATTAGTTAGCATAATATCATCATTCTTCAATTCACAGGAAAATGGAATGTAACATCCAGAATATTGGTACTGTCTTTCCCTTATCAAAAATGACAATTGAGAATCCAACTTCTCGGTGAAACTCTATCAATAATTTCTAAATTGAACGTGCCTTCTTCATTTCCTTTGAAATATTCTGTAGCATAATCAAGCAGATAACTTCCCAATTCCATACTGCTATAAGGCATACCACATTAAATTACCCTAAGCCATACCTGATGAGTGAACTTGCGATCTGGACTCCCAAATATCCGGGCTAAACCAAAGTCGGCTAGTTTAAGCTTTCCATCAGCGCCTATTAATAAATTATTTGGCTTCATATCCCTGCAAACACAAATTACTACACACCTCAGATAAAGCCCATCACCCAAAGACCGCCAAGGTAGGCCTCAACTCAAACACAATCATGGAAAAAAATACCTGTGAAGCACCCATTTTTTATGGCAATAGGCAAGCCCTTTCAGTGTCATCTGCAGGTACGATTTAATATCAGCAGGAGAGAGTACGATATTCCTATCCCGAATAACGGCCTCAAGGTCAGTCTCCATGAACTCAAACACAAGATGCAAGTTCCCCTTGTGAGGGAAAGCATCGATCAACTCAATGATGTTCGGATCCTTGAGCTCTTTGAGCAGTTTAATTTCCCGAAGTGCCGTAAAATTCACACCTTCCTTGTACTTCCCCAGCCGAATTTTCTTAATTGCAACCGTCTGTCCCGTCTGCACAAACCACCAAAGATACATTATAAATAAAAACGAGAAAAACGTCACTCTTATCATCTTATATATGTAACCCGTTGAGGAAGTATTATTTCTGCCCAAGAACATTATCAAATATGAACACGAAACACTATAAGTAATACTAATTAATGGAGTTTCTTGCTTATGTGGTTGATGAACGAGACTCTACTCCAGAATCAACTCCAACAAGATTGAAGGTCTTTCCTTGAATGTTTTAGAAACCCTAGATACTGGTTCTATTGTCTCAGTCGTCAAAGAAGGAATTGGGTTACCTTGGTGTCGATGGCCTTGTAGACAACACCGTATGTACCCTCGCCAAGGATTTCGCGCTTGAGATATCGATCTGCGACTTTCTTCGATAGCAGCTGATCGACTTCCGCCATTGTTGCTAATGAAATTTGCTGGGATAAGCGAATATGATGGCTCTCCTTTAAGCATCTTCGGGAAGCTTCATTCATTTAAGAAACCCTAGAAACTCGGTTTCATCCATGGATGGTGTAGTTGAAGATTCAATGAACAGCAGACTGAGACGAAACAGGAAGTAGGAGAAACCACAGCACAGAGTACAGGCTTCAGAGCGCTAAAAAAACAGTCAAGTCATAGTTGATACTTGATAGACATAGGCTGTAATTCAAACAAGAAAAAAGGGCATTCCTGTCATAATGATTTTCTGTCGAAGTGGAAAAGGCGCCGTTCTATATCTTTCCGGAGCGTGTACAGGTGTCGTCAACACATAAACCAGCAGTAAGAGATTCGCAAGACCACTAACGAGATCGGTTACGCAATCCGGCTCAACATCAACTGCGGATGTAAATAAGCGGTTAACCCCGAGTTGAGCCAAATTGAGCCGAGTCCGGATCTGTTCTTGAGTGAGCGCTCCTCACACCGGCCGCATATGTTCTCGATACACGGTGGGATGTGATTGTAAGGTCGGTGTGAGTTGCAGAGCACAATTCAAGTTGAGCTTAAGCTGAGAGAGTATGAGAACAACCCACCGAGCACCACCACTGTTATCGGGAACATCACCCTATAAATGAAAAGGGAGATATTCTCAATGCGCAACTGTTATATTCTGTGGATTGAGATATGGGAACAAGTAGTTGATAGCAGATTCAAGCCCGAATCTGAGACTAAACGACCGGTCTTGACCGGCTAAGGGTTAGCCCCACCTAACTATGCTCAGTCAACTTGGTTTGATTCGGATTGAATAAAACCTAAATTACCCAACCATCGTCACTAGAGTTTTTTTAGGATAAATTATAAAGAGCTTATTACCAAAAAATTTACAATGAGCGGTTGTACTTTTCCTCTCCATGACAAAGACCCTCCCGAAGTTTCACTTTGTAATAAATACTATTATTAAAATTTTTCCAAATTAACCTTCATAAAAGATTTCCATTCAACTGTTTAAAGTTTTTTAAATTTTCAAGTTAACCTTTTCCTATTTAATTGGATTTTTTTAAATTCATATCTATACTATTAGAAAAAGTGTGAATGAGAGTATACAATTTTTGTTTAATTAAAATATCTCAATTTTTGAATTTGACCCCTCTCTCATTGTAAGGATAGAAATATAATTTCAACAATCACTTTTATCATTGCTTAAATATCGATCTCACATTTAAGGCTTATATTTAAGATATTAATTCCCATTAACATTCAATGTACCATGACTAGAATACCCCTATTTTTTTAATTTGACCCCTCTTTCATTGTAAGGATAAAAATGTAATTTCAAAATTCACTTTTTATACTTGTTTAAATATCTCTCATTTAAGTCTTATATTTGAGGTATTAATTCCCATTAAAATTCATTGAATCTTGACTAGAATACCCTTACTTTTTGAATTTGGCTAGGTCTCTCTCCAATTATAAGGGCACAAAATGTAATTTGAACTACTACATTTCTCTTTATTCAATTTCCTCTCATCAAGTCTTATATTTAGGGTATTAAAACTCTCATTCTTTCATTGAATCTTATATTAATTAATTATATTAAACATAAGTATGATAAACAATAATTATTTTCATTGATAATAAAAATAAAATACAAATTTAAAACCAACCCAAAAATGGAGTTGTTTTATTATTTGACAATGAGTCAACAATTTAACCTTTTGGGTCAAATGTGTAGGCCCTTGATGTCATAATTAAATAATAATAATAAATAAATAATGAAAACATAAAAGAGTATAAGAAATACAAAATAAATGTAGAAAACATTTGGGTGCATCTCTAATACCCTATATTCATCGTACTAAACAAAAGCAAGTGTGATAAATAAGCATAATTTTGATCGAAATATAAATATAAAAAATGTATAAATTTTTGGAAACTTATTATTTACTATCATCATCATGAAAAATTGCCATGTGCAAAGAATGTTATATTAAAGTCTTCTCGGTTTCTCTAATAAATCTTTGCAAATTTTTGGTTGAAATGGTAGATGTTTCTTTTTGACAAATATAAATTTCAGATTTTGTTTAGTTTTTCTTGGTTTATTGGATGAAGAAGTGGATAATTTTTATATTTTAAGATGAAGATAGGCATTCATGTTAGTGAAATGATTCATGTTATTTTAGCTGGTTTCATTTGTAGAAAATGGGAGTGTTTTTGGGTTGTGTTTGGTTTGAAAGAATAGGTAGGGAAAGGTAGTAAAGAAAACTGTACAACCCTTGTATGGATTTCTTTTACTTTCCCTTCCTTTTCCTATTTTTCTTTCAGACTACGCACAACCTTGGGGTATGCTTCGAATTTTTTATGCACATCATCCTTTCACTTAGGTTGTGTTTGGAAATGATGCAAATAAGTGTGAATGCAAATTTGTAGACTGTAAAACGGTTGATATAAATTGCAAAATCGGGTTAGATTTGCACTAATAAATTTACCTTCTTACCAAACAGACTTTTGCTTGTAAAGCATATGTTTTTTTTTTATCAAAAGCCCACTTGAATGCAAATTTACTTCTTTTTAACTGATGTACTTTTACATCTTATTATCAATGTAAATATGCATTGGTCTGTCATTTTCAATGCAAAAATGTAATATTGCCAAACATAGGCAAAAGTGAACCAAAGTGCAAATTTACCTTGAACCGGGATTCACTCCATTTGCATTGTTTCCAAACGCAGCCTTAGGCTCAATTTGGAAGGAGTACAAATACAAATATGTAAGTACAAATAGATATAAAATAATACAAAATATAAGGTTTTATACTCTACATATTTGTATTTGTACTCCTTCCAAATGGAGCCTTAACAACAAAGAAATGCATATATCACTCCTCAAGTTTACACCATAACGTGTACAATTATACCCCTTTGAGCACAAAAGTAAGGTTCAATTTGGTAAGAATACAAATATAAATATGTAGGGTGCAAAACCTTGTACTTTATATTACTTTGTATTCCTAAGGTTCAGGTTGCAATAAGTACAAATACAAATATGTACAATGCAAATATATACAAAATAATAGAAAATTCAAGGTTTTGTACTCTACAAAAATGTATTTGTACTCCTTCCGAATTGAGCCTAAATCTTCTATTTGCACAGTACATATTTGTATTTATACTCTTTCCATAATTTTCAAGGCGTCTAGGCAATTCTGGGCAACACTGTGATGCCTAGTCACCTAGGCGATAAAAATTTTATAATATGAAAAACCGACTTTTGGTTAGTTTCCCAGTCTTATATACAATTCAGCATGTATGTTAATTGAAAAATAACAATTCTCTTTATTAAGAACATTAAATTTCCTTTAAAAATGTGACAAATCATCACATCTAAAAGATAAAAATCTTTTACATATATTAATTTCATTATTTTCAAAAATAATACTACTATAATAAGTATTTAATAGAGCAAATTCATATTAATTAGCAGCTAAAGAAGGTTATTAACTTTATATGATAAATATTCAAGATGGAAAGTAAAATAGAAAAAAAAAATGATGATTGAATTTCTGTTTTATTTAATTAGAGAGAGAATAGAAAAAGAAAAAACTTTATTATTCTATTGTTACTTTCCCCTTTCTTTTCTTTCTTTCTTTCTTTTCTCTTCTTAAAACCCTTTGATCTTTTAAATTTCAATAGTAAAATATTAAAACAAAATATAATCGATATATATATATAGCATATAATAATATGTACTAACACATATATTAATAGGATACAACAATATAAATGATATTATAAAAGGCGCCCACCTTGTCATTTTTGTCGCCTAGGTGGCCGCTTAATTGCCCAAGCAGGCGCCAAATCGCTAAAAGTCAAGGCGTTTGGGCGAGGTGCCTAGCCAAGGGCACCTAGTCGCCTAGGGGACGCCTTGACAACTATGCCTCTTCCCAATGTGAGCATAAGGCTTAATTTTGAAAGAATGCATTTTTCTTGCTATTGCATAGCGCACATTACAAGTGACTCAAGCATGGGATCAAAGAGGGTCCATGTAACCATGGACTACCTATAGTGTTGTCGGTTGATCCCAAGCCTCCTTTTTCAAAGGGATACCCAGTAACCCAACTACAAAGTATGTGTTTGGTTTCATGGGCATTTTATTGAAGAGGTGTTTATCAAATAAGCGTTTATTTGAAAAACACTACTTTAAACGTTTATTGCTTTTGTTGTTTGATTGGGCACGTGTTTCAAGTAACAACCCATAAAGTTACTTTCCACCTCAACTTAAAGTGTGCCACATAAGCATTTTGTGTTTCAATAATTTTAAGGCATTGGGGGAAACAAGAATTTGAAATTTCCCTCAACTTAAAGTTACTTTCCACCTAATGCACATAAAGCAAAGCATTTCTGTTTTTTAATGTTTATTTGATAAATGTTGAAAACCAAACAATGGTTTCATCCATAATAAATGCCAATGCCTATGTGGCGCTGATGTAGTGACATTTTTCCAATAAACACCCAAGGAACCAAACATAACCCAAGTTTAGGCTAACTAAGGGGTGACTTGGTTTGTTCTAGCATAGACATAAATTTTATTTCTGCAACCACTTACTTTGGGGAAAATAGCAAAAAAAAAAAAAAAGAAATTACCAAGTTTAGGTTGTAAAGGAATTGGATTGAATCTGGATAGTGATATAACAAAATATAATCCATTACCAATCCGATCTATCTAAATTTGATTCCATATGTAATAGATATTAGCAACACAAATTCAAGTTTTGATTCATTTATGTATGTAGATGTTTGGAGTTTGGAGTCGATTAAAATATTAGTAAATCAATACAAAATTAGCAAAAGTTTATAAAATCAAACATAAAAACAAAAAATATGTATTATAAAACCAGAAATAAATTGATATGAATTCTAAATCCAACTTAATTCTAAAGACTTTTAAATAATATAATGGGAGCGGATCAAGCAATATCTAAATTTGATCTGTTTATGACTAAGGCCCTATTTAAGAAGTACTTCTTTTAAGACATGGGACCACACATTAAGTGGTTTTTAAGTACTTATGGGTGTTTGGTAAAAAGTAGGAAAAAAGTATTTTTTTAAAGAAGTACTTCTTTGAAAAAGTGACTTCAAGTTGGCTTTTTTTTAAGTACTTCTTGAAGAAGTATTTCTCCAAAATATTAGGACGAACC